GTGGGCGCGACAAAGCACGTATTGCCACAACTTCGGCCGAGCCGGACCACCTGCTTTCGGGGTGAGAGAATTTCAGGCAGCTTTAGCACTGTAAACCATGATTGCATGTAGATTACAGACCGCTTGGTAATTGCTAGCGGCCATGCAAAATGTAATACGGGAAAATGGTGAATGGCGCTATGCAAATATTCCGTGAGGGAGTTCAAAGTCAACCCCACGGCACCGCCCCGATTCGCCCTTACTCCTTCTTAGTTCGTGCCTGAAAAAGTTCCCCGGGGACTCGCGAACTCGCGATTAACAATCAGCTTCCCCTGACGTAATCGATAGGAGAAATTATTCACTAGCGATTATGCAACTTGCGTGTACGAGAGGTTAAAAGTAGCAACGTCTATTATTTTTCTCCATGGTTTTACCAGCGTGCGATATCGATGCTAATGAGACAAGGTCGGCTGTCCTATGGGCGAAGTCAATGCGGAGAACAATAGCAAGAATTTCGAGCGTTACGGAAGGGTCCATTAAGGTGGCTTTGTATAAGGAGCATACCGAAACAGGGTTGGAACTTAGGAGATGTAGAGAAATGGTAACAAGGGAGGATGTACCGAAAGGTGAAAGCAGCAGAGAGACAGGGGAACCAGGGGAGAAGGGCTCGTGTCGTAATTTTGTTAATTATTCAGAGGCACTGTAGACCAATTAATTAACTGAAGCCACTGTACTGAGAGCAGTCGACTGTTCAAAGACTCCGGTGTCGCTGGAGAACAAAAATCCCAGTTAAATAATTGCCATTCCTTCGAGATTCTTTTGCGAAAAAGGGTTGCTAGGTTCTTACCTACCCCCCCGCCCACGCTAAGCCATTTCTAGTATCGCTCGAGGTATACGGTTCTCGCGAACACTTGTCGTTACGCTTTATAACGCTATAATTACTGGGAATATAGAATTTCTCTCTTATTCCATTAAGATAGAAATGGATACTGCAATTCCCTAGAGGCTACTGACTGGCTCGATACTGCAATTCCCGCTGCAATCGAATACCCTTCTCTCTGCTGGGGTTATTATTGAAGCTATACTCTTATTTATTTCTATTTACAGTGGTACTTCCTCGATACCTGCCAGACAGTTACGCGTGACTCTCGGCGAACATAACCTCAAGGGTCCCGAGGTACCAGCCGCGAAAGAAGAGGGAGTACTTAGTGTCATAGTGCATCCAGGACACAAATGCGGCCGATACGTGCACGATATTGCACTGCTCGAACTAGCGAGGCCGATATCTTGGTCGGAGAGTGTGAAGCCTGCATGCCTGCCGGCAGCTACTGGGAAGCCAGAATACAGTGCATTCGGGGACGTACATGCAGTAGCCGCAGGATGGGGTTGGCTTGGTGAAGATACGTCAAAACGTGAGTGCAAATAACTCCCATATAAAGTGACACGGTCTAGTGCCTCTTGGAGAGAGTACAAAATTATAAGCTCTGAAAATTTGGAAAATTTACAATCGTACAATTTCAACCTTACTTTCTATCCACGCTGTATCCTTCGGTCATAAAATTTCCTCAAGTATCGTACGTGGAGTCGTATCTCTTGGGTAACTATATGTACGTGGACGTTCTGTATTTTCAATAGGTGCAAAAGTTGCACTGGAATATAATCTCAGTTAGGTATATTCAGGATGTTCGATATGGAGACAGAAGGTAATGATGCTGAAAAAAATATTATCGCATGTCCTGCTTGCGACAATAGGCACTTTTTGCATATAAAGGGATATTTAAAGCATGTTACGTTGTTTCAGACAAAAGGGCGGACGTGCTACAAAAAGTTGGAGTTCGTGTTGTGGAGAACAGCGTGTGCAAAGAGTGGTACGCGAGTCAGGGTAAAAAGACACGCGTGGAACCGGAGCAGATGTGTGCCGGTCATGAAGACGGTGGTCGGGATTCGTGTTGGGTAAGTATCTATGGTAGCTCTTATAACAAAGTAAGCTACAACTAAAAAGAATTTATTCCTTAAAGGTAGGAAATACAGGATGCCCTAAATCCTGAGTAAAATTCACAAGGACGTGAATTTTATCCAACTTTATATTCCTTTTGGTATTTATTTATTAAGCCGGGTACGAAATTCAAATCTGTCAGCATCCATTGTTCCGCGTGGAAAATTTATCGATCTTTCAGAATGGTAGCGTCACGTCGCACAAGGTTATTGGGATCTATGACATTAAAAAAAGTCTACGAAGCGCGAAAGCCTGGATTAGTGTGTTCCTGCAACGCGTTTCTGCCTACCAAAATACTTTTATGGAATCGGGAGTGCGTGTGAAAAAAAGATAGGAATTCTTGGATTACTTTGTATATATACGATATGCGATAGAACGTTTTTGCACTTTTCTCCCGTAGAGCCTATTTGCTATTTTGAATAGTGACATCGGATAGAGAGGAAACGCGATTATACATATACCGGCACGGTACGATTTAAAGAGCCATAAAATATTCTAGAATATCTTATAAGGACGTAGATCCTAAAATAGTACAGATAGTCCAAGCAGTTTGTACCATTAAAGAAGTACTAAAGATTCTCTCATAAAATGTCCGAAGCAGTAGAATGGTCTATGGGCATAAACATATAAGAACGTATATATCTAAAGTGTCTATAGGTCTGATATAATAAAAAGGGAACACTACGTAGGACAGTAGAAACGTGAATCTCGACGAATTAAAGCGATTTCAGCGAAGTCGATAAAATACGACTGCTGTTCCCTCGGATTCGAGCCATAGGTCCCTCTCTATTCCCAGGTCAGATACTTTCCCAATATAACCGTATAGTACAAAAGGTCCCTTTACCCACTACTGCTACCTACGCAAGCACTAAATTCTCGTAGTCAATTAAGGGTAACAGCAGTTTCGGCGAATTAACCGACAAGCTTTTCCAACGGGGATGGATCCGGTGGTAGCACAATGGCCGTCCCTACTTTTCGTCCATTCCACTACGTCACGATAGAGCTGTAGGTATCTGCTAACCTGCTATATCTCCTTGTCGCGATAATATTCAAGATGGCAACGCATACTCTACACTGACTTCTACCCCTCGGATGTGTACTGTGGTAAATAGCCGTGACATTTATTATGGCGTTAATAACGTCAGTAGTGTCTCAGACGTGCTGCAAACGAATTCCTCTACGAACAATAGCCTTTCTGACGTCATATTTCACGCTGTAAACGTAGGCCGGTTCTGCTGAGTATGTAGTTTTGCTACCGGCGTGGACGGAAATGAAAGACGGCCATCGGAAGACAGGAAACTAGTTTTCGGACGTTGTTAACCCACTTACAGAAACGATGGGCTCTGGAATGTTGTTTACTTCTATTAAAGATCTTTAAGCACCTTCGTGAAAAGATTGTATGTTCTGCATTTTGTTGTAGGCTGATAGCGGCGGACCTTTAATGGTTGGAGGTCGTTCCGGAGGTAGCTCGATGGTCATTGGGGTTGTTTCGACTGGAGTGGGCTGTGCCAGACCTCGACTTCCGGGTTTATATACTCGAGTCTCCGAATACATTCCATGGATCACGCAACAGGCATCGCGCCATTGAGGTTAATCCTTCGTCAGGAGAACTTTGGGTCTGATTTCTAGAGGATGATACTGCTATGTGTCCTGAAGAAGTTCGTTGATGCACATATTTGTAGGTAGTAGGTGCGATTTCTCGCTTCTCATAATGCAGTTACTAACATGTTCTTTTATCCTATTTCATGGATAATTTGATCAAGTATCGGTATCGCGATTGCAATTACACGCACTGAAATTGGTTCGATTGAAACGTGGTACGAGTATAACACAAAGTCGCTGACCTTTAACACTGAAGTGGATAATGAGCTTTTTATATGAAAATTCCGTTTGCCAGTGTGAAACAAATATTGAGGAACTAGTTCATTGATTTAAAAAAAGGATTTGACTTGATGAGAAAGGCTTTTTGTTTTGAAGTATGGTTAAGTATTGGCAAATTATTGAAACGACAAAACTGTTACATTTGTTTTTCGGTTTGGATAAGAATTACGGTAGTCTGCGAGTGATTATATTGAACTCTTGAAAATCCTGGTTAATGAGAGTAAAGTCTTTTTATGAATATAGTGGCATAAAATTTAACTGTGATAAGATATTCTTTAGGAATTTGGATAGATATCTGATATATGTACATCAATTGATTCATAGAAAGTAGTATGAATATCGTGTGGACGGTTTAATTATAATTATGTATTTTTAATATAAAATTGATATTGCTCTCAATCAAATTTAGAATATGATAAGATACGAATACGAATTCATATGCTGCAAGGATGTTATAGTGGATCTAGTCATTATATTGTATGTACATGACTTAAATATTATTTACGCAAAGTTTTAGACTATAAAAACTAAAAAACGCATTAATCTCATATAGAAATCAACAATGGAGTACTGATTTACTCTTCATCGTTATATAATTCATCCCCCATGTGCTACTCATCTTTTTCCTTAAACAATACTGAAATGCGTACCAACTATACATATAGGATAGATTCAAGGATAAATGTGATTGCAAACAAAGTTTTTGACTTTTAAACATAATTTTTAATGTTTTCTTACCACTAACTAATATCGATATATCTAAAATGCAATCATTAATAATGACTACATATTTTTACAATCTTTTTGGCTTTCTTGGTCTCGGTGGATTCCACGAAACAGGAGTAGCATCAGTTATAGAGATTATATTAAGACCGCCCATTTGTAGACCCTTTACGGCAGACTAAAAGATTGATTTGGCAAAGATCAAAATTAATTTTAAGTATGCTGTAATATAAACATGTATGCTAAAAATATATTACCATTCTGCCTGGACCAAGACCAGATATCTTAACTCTGACTGATTTAATACCCTCACCAATAGCTCGCTAAAAAGTAATATTATTTTCTAATTAGAATTTTCTTATTTCAGCTTAATCACAGTAATCTATAAGAATGAAGGTGTTCTAAAATTTACTGACAGTCTTGTGGACTTAATTATGTCTCTTCCGATATGTATGGATGGATAAGTAAAGAATCCTGATTCCAGTACGGATAGTAAATTTTGGAACATACTTAATGAAGACACTAATAAACATCCAATATTTCACTTACTGAACCTAAACTGATGGCGGTAGCTTGCGCTGCTATATTTGTTCCCTTTCTAGTATTTTTAAAACCCTCTCTACCGCAACTGTGCAGCATTTTAACATTTCCTATAATAACAAAAATGGATAGAATATTGATGAATCTCTATTAGAACTACTAATATCATTACAGACATACACTCACCCTGACTATCGGTTAAACATATAATTGTGTTATTCGGAGATACTTTGACATTACATATCGGTATATCTTTAAACGGTATACCGTTAAAAAGTTTATTTGGAGTTTCAGGTGTTGGAAACATATCCTCGCTAGAAGTAAAGTAAAATATTGTAACGTTCTTGCACCGTTTATAACTGCTAATATACTAAACATATAATTTCACCTAACCTCAACAAAAATTAATGAGTAGTCTCAGAAAACTAAGTGTCTTGGAATACTTTATATAGCAATCATTATTGTACTTACACAATATTCAAAGAATCGATGTTGATGATTTTCTCACCATCAGTTCCCTGATCTTTTGCAGGCAAAATTGACATCATGTTTTTCCTGTCGTCGTTCAATTTCTGACAAGATGCAGTGCTGTGCAGGGTTCTTGCAATTGTCGACGAACTATTTAATTTTCTTACTCCGGATTTTAAATCAACGCACATTCTGTCAGCCAACAGTGGAAATTTTAACACGCTTAAAGCGGACTTCAGCATTTTGAATAGAAAAAAAAGTTACTTCGAACTGTATACTAGACACGCTGGAAAGCAGCAGACGACAAGATATAACCTAACCTACCCAACACGTATTGTGACAAAATACTATAAGAGATTTCCTAGATATCCCTATATCACAGTTTGTAGCATTGGATAGATTAATTTTATGAGAATCGTTCAAAGATTAATTGCATATAATTAAATTTTCTAAAGAAATGCAGTGTATTAAATCAGGGTAGATTTATGACACAATATCAGATAACAATATATATTATAAATATAGCTCCGTTATCAAACAAATATATCTATACAGAAGATAATAGCCATTAGATAGTCACAATATGTCAATGAGACTTCAAATATCTACTCGATATTTCTTCAATGTAGGTATATTTATAAGTACTAATATGTATATTACCATAAGTACCAAAATAAGTATAGTTAATAGATACTGTAAAGAATTCTTCATAAATTCAATAATTTTAAATATTATAACGCTCAACTTGAAAAATCTTATTTGATTTATAAGGGAATTCTTCTTGCTTTTCTTGCACCACGCTTCCTTTTTACGTAATGATAATGTTGATCAGGCAATAAGACTTTAGTAATCCCATGCGCTACGCCATTTATATTCATGATATCGCATTTTGTGAGAGTAGCATCATTTACCTAAAAAATAATAAATTATTATGTCACTTCATAATATGAAACGACAAATATAAACTATAAAGCTAACCTTTATCTTATCATTTTTTTTCACTAGGTCGACAGTGGTTTGTTTTGTTCTAACGGCATAATGAAGATCCGGTTTGAATCCTTCAGACGCCATCATATTCTCAGAGACGTGATTTTGTATAGTCTAAAAAAAAGATCCAAGCGAAGAATATTAAATTGTCCAAAAGAAAAAAGTATCACTTTACTCTAATGTAATAATCCTTGTTCACCTTCGTCAAATATTTCCCGTCGCCCATAATCTTTTGAAGTCTAGCTTCTCCCAATTTTCGAAAAGCTTCATCCGATGGTACGAAATACGTATAACTGGATTGGGGCCGTTTAAGTTCTTCAAAAGTACTGGGTTCCACTTCTCGCATTTTATCCATAGCTCTCAACCAAATACTACAACAAACCATTTACTTATGTTATTCAGTCCTTCATATGAAACATATTATATCTCTAATACCTATAAAAATACAAATTTACCTGAAGTTTCCATTCTGTCTCAAAGCATCATCCAACGAATTAGTAGTTGGATAAAGAACTTTACTGATTATATGCAAAACTCCATCACTGCCTTCCCTATCAGCTTTCTCAATCAGTGCATCCTCTATACCCACGCTACCTCGATAAACTTCAAATCGCAGTGGTGTTGTTTCATCCAAGGAAGTCACTATCTACATAGACGAAATTGAGCAAATTAACATCAAGTATCAAACTAAGCAAAGTAATAAACTAACTTGTAACAAAAACTTACTTGATTAGCACTGACTGCATCAGTCGTATATCTACCAAGAACTGCGTGATTCAGTACGAATCGTCTCGCACTGTCTTGGTTGCTTACCAGTTCCTCGAATTCCCTTTCGGGTATTGCTATAGCGTAAATAAATGATGCGTGAAACACGAAATGATCAGGGAGTATCGGAAATACGTGCGCAATATACTTACAATACATAGCTGCTTCGGACGGAGCAAATAGCGTGTATGATTCTAAGTTACTAAGTACCTCGTTCAAGTCAGCTTTTTGAATCAACTGTGAAAATAGATAGAGTTTCTCATCCTGGAGCAATTCCAATACGGTTTTAGCTAAAAGTTAATCAATCATATATATATGTCTAAGAGTAAACAATCTTGGTCCAGCTGAAGACTATAGAATCTAATATACAAACAATTCCCCGTGTATATATATATATATTATTGTACCTCTATCCGGAAACAATACGTCATCAACCATGTAGACCAATCCGTTTTTCCCATGCAGCAAATCTTGGTGCAATCTCCTACGTTCAATCGTGGGACCACGAGAAGTACAATTAAGAGTGAGTTTATGGGGTCCCAGTGATTTCACACGATGCTCCGAAATTACACCCGGCAAACACACTGGATGAGCGACGATATGATTCGCCAGGAGAGCTGTGTTGGTTTCATATAATTATAACCGTGTTTTCCAAAGCAATGCTGTATATCAAAGTCACAATTAATAAAGTCTGAATAAACAAACTCTGATACCTTCCAGTGTCTCCTTATCATCCAAAATCTTGTTAAGCCTAGTTCTAGGTATTTTTTGAAAAGCTTCATCACTCGGTGCGAAAATTGTATGAGGTATTTCACTATTGCGAATACGTTTAATCAAATCGCTCTTTTGCAAACTTTCTGCTAGTACCGAGAATCTTCCATCTTCCTCTATGATTTCCATTAGGTCTTCGTTCTTGAATAAATTCGGATTCAGTACACCGTCTATTACATGTACCACGCCATTGGTTGCATGTTGATTTTTGCGTATGACATCTTCACAATTTACAGTTTCGATCTATAATACATGAGATGATATTATTATCATTTTTACGAAAAGGTCGGAGTATATATTCACGTATAATATACCCCATTAGAATATTTGTTGATTCGCAATTTATGCCCGGGCAATTTTGAATCCACTAATAAATCCGCACGCCATTGACTGGAGGGAAGACGCTTTTCCAAAATATGATTGAGTACCAAATTTCGATATTTTCCTTTCTCGTACAGCGATTCCAGTCTGATACCATAGAGTTTCACGTACTTCTGCGAAGGGAAGAATATATCATGAAATTAGACAGATCCATGTTGGTGAACGCGATTATTGCTAAAACGATGAAATTAGTAAGAGTCAGTCCAGTGGAAACTTTAACTTCACCGTACATCAAAAGATTCGTCGCTCGGCGCGAAGAGAGTTATAGCAGGACCGCGTTCTAGCTCTTCAGCCACGCCAGACTTTTCCAAGAGGTTGGCAAACTTCGCGGCGCCAATGTTTCGTGCTGTCTCAACGACATTTAGGAGCGGCTTAACTAAAATTAATCAATAACAAGCATAAAATTCATTAATCTATGTCAGTCTGTATTAGTTTAATTATTTTTATATCCGCCCCCCCCCCCCCCCCCCCCCCCCCCC